AGGAGGAACTGTCGATGTTACACAAGGATCACATGCGTATTAACCATCAAATTGCAAATATTAAAGAAACGAAAAAATGAATCAAAGCAAAATTAATCCAAAATTTAAGCGTAAAAATTTAAAATAAATATCGTAAATGTCTTAAATCTCATTAAAAAAAAGTTTTTGCAATTTATACAATGCGGGTCACTAATTAATAATAATTAATCAAAATAACAATACATACCTTTAGTTACTCCGTAGAAATTAATAATATTTGGATGTGATGTAATTTTTCTCAATAATTTAAGCTACGTATAAAATTATACAATTTTTACCATCATGTCTATATCATAAATTAATTATCTGTGATAATAACTATACCTCTTCAAAAAGAGCTATGTGAATATTTTCAAACGTTTCATATGGGCGTTCATTAAAACTCTTGAGAGCAACCATCTGTCCCTGGCCTTCCCACTTGGCTTCATAAACTATTCCGAATCCACCTTCTCCAATCCTACGATGCTCACTAAATTCCGTATAGTCAAAAGTTTTAATATCTGAAATTATTTTTTCAATAGATTCGATTGTTGCCGTCGTAACGATTTTAGTTTCAACGCTGCTACTAATGGGCGAATCCAAGTTTGCTGAAGTTTTAGACTTTACAAGAACATTTTTATTACCACTATTAATGTGATTCGTAATAAATTCTACAGTATTTTCTGTTGATAATTTATTGAGTTCAACTAAAACTTGGTCTAAAAATGGGCGCTCGTCTGGTTTAGTAGACCAACATTTTTTGAATAGATTAGCGTAACCTAAGGGTGTATTGTCAATGATTTTTTCTTTGACACCATTTATGATGTTCATAATTATTGCTGCATTCATAAGATTATTAAATGGTGGGATTCCGCTTGTGAGCTCCCAGAATAGAACACCCAAACTATAGATATCGGATTTTTTATTAAGTTCGTATGGCTTTTCAAAGCATTGAATGCAGTATTGCGGCTCTAGGTATGCTAGCATGCCCTTTGCACCTGTACTCGAAGTGGCAGCAGATGTTTTAGCATCTAATTGTTTTGATATTCCAAAATCTGTGATCAAGGCCCTATCATTATTTATTAAAATATTCATAGAATGCTATATACAAAAATTTAAGAGTATTGTAAATTTAAATTTAGGGCAAAATTAGAGCATTTAAAGGAATAGCATCTTACTAGATCTCGGTGAACTATATTTTTATCGTGCAAATGTATTAATCCAAGTGTAATTTCTCTTGCAATTCGAATAAGATCAGTCCATAAAATTTTATAAAGACCATCTTTTTGTTTTCTCCGTAAATAATCTCGGAGGGTACCACCATTAGCATACTGTAACACCAATATGAAATTACCCGTAGTAAAATCTAAAATTCGTTCGAAACGTA